CACGCCCGGCTAATTTTTTTTTTTTTTTTTTGATCTCGCCAAGTTGCCCAGGCGGGGAGTGTCCTTTTTGCTGAAGTGGTCCAGGCACTGGCTTGGTCTCCCAAGGACCAGGAACAGTCTCAGACCCATGGGGTGCCCAGGGAGTGTGTCCTCACTTGGAACTGTTGGTTGCTGTGGAAGAGAATAAAGAAATGGTGCTAGTCACTGGCCCTGGGCACCCCATGGCTATGCCTTATGGTGGGTCTTGTGAGCTGAGGGTGCCTGGGGGAGGGACGGCCACCAGGGTATACAGGCGAGGCCCATGGCTCCCTCCCTCCCCCATTCCTCCCTCCCTCCCCCTTCCTCCTCCTTTTCTTCTTCTCCCTCTTCCTCTCCCTCCCTCCCTCCTCTCCCCTTCCTTCCCTTCCTCTGCCCCTCATCATTAAACACTCAGACATCTCTACCCAGAAGGCTTCACCTGCTGCCCTTGATCCACCACTCTCTGAGGAGAAAACACAAGTGGGGAGTGGGTCGTACTCAAGGGAGTGTGGCGGAAGCACGCGCTTGGCCCCAGCTGGCCCCGAGAGAGGTTCCTTGACCCAGTTGAGGTTAAGCAGTTTCTTGTGGGCAAGATGGTACCAGGAATGAGGAGAGGATTCCAGCGTAGATGGGCGGGACCCTGCTGCTGGGTGCCAGGTCTGTCTGACCTCCATCGCTGGCATGCTCACGCGTGGGAGGAGGACCGTGACTCAGGCCTTCAGATGTTCTCCTTGCCCTTGGACGGCCGAGGTGGCCTTGGCGCAGGCTGGGCCGTTCTTTTGAGGTCTCTGTTTTCAGGGAGCTGCGGATGTGGATGGTGTTTTGAGGTGATGAAATCTTTTCCACCCGGGGTCACTAGGTAGCTCCTTCTCGCGCAGGTGGTTCCTTGGAGACTTCTCTCAGGTGATGCTTTTCTCGGGAAGCTGCCTCTGAGTTGCCTCCCTGAGCCTGCATGAGCCACCTGGCCCTGGCCGGCTGCACCCCGACCGCTTCTTCCAGGGCGCTTCCAAGGCACTCACCGCACCGTTGCTATATTCGTTTGTCCTTCTCATCAGGTGGGAAGCCGTTTGTCTGAGTAGGCTGTGTCTTCTTGACCTTTATATACTCAGGAAATGGCGTGGTGCTCAGCTTATGCTGGTCCCTCAATCATGGTTTGTTGAATGAATAAGTGAATGCCTCTGGATCACAGCTATCCAGCCATTGCCAGAAAAAGACACAATATGGAGATCTTAGTGCTTTCATTTCTGAGTTATCTATGAATTGTCATCTCAGAACTTAGCTGTATGAAGATGGTGTAGAACTCACAGATATATTAAAACAGGGCAAAACCAAATGTAGGGTGTGGATAGCAGTTAAGGAAATAGACTTTGGGGTCCGATGGCTTGGGGGGCAAGTTATTTAACCTCCTTAAGCCTCATTTTCCCTATTTGAACAATGGCAATTAAGATACTGTATTGCCGGGGGTTGTTCTGAGGCTGGAATGGGTGAAGACCTCTCATCTGGCATGGACCAAAGGCTAAGGAATTCTAGCTATTGCGATGATCATTATTGCTGCCGCTGTTGTTACTGTTCTTGGTTACTGTACATCAGCTGGTGAGGTGGTTTTGTGAAGTCACATACACCTGCTCTCTGCTGGACCCGATAGATGATATTGCCTGATGTTCATGACCATTCTCAGAGATTCCACACGTTCAGGGAAGTTCCACACCTTCTTGGAAGGTGCGAGTATCTTTTAGTTATATGATTAAACCTTTTCTCACTGACCTGGTCTGTTAAACGGTTCAGACTACACAGAGGGCAAAACGTTCCCTGTGTTTCATTCATTTATTTATTTTGAGTTGGAGTCTCACTCCGTTGCCCAGACTGGAGTGCAGTGGCCGCTTCCGGCCACCGCAGCCTCGACCTGCTGGACTCCGGCGATCCTTCGGCCTCAGCCTTCCAAGTGGCTGGAACTACAGGTGCGCGCTACCACGCCTGGCTGATTTTTTGATTTATTGTAGAGATGAGGTCTCGCCAAGTTGCCCAGGCGGGTCTCGAACCCGCAGGCCCGGGCAGTCCACTCACCTCAGCCTCCCAAGGCGCGGGATTACAGGCTGAGCCACCGAGCCCGGCTATTTATTTTTTGAGTCAGATTATCACTCTGTCATCCAGGCTAAAGTGCCGTGGCACACTAATAGTCACCGCAGCCTCAACCTGCTGGGCTCAGGTGCTCCTTCCGCCTCAACCTTCCAGGCAACTGGGACCACAGGCGCGTACCACCATGCCTGGCTAATTTTTTGATTTATTGTAGAGACAATTTTTTGATTTATTGCTGCTCAGGCTGGCCTCGAACCCCTGGGGTCAGGCAGTCCTCTCGCCTTTGTCTCCCAAAGTGCTGGGATGACAGGTGTGAGCCACCGTGCCTGGCTGTATGTTTCATTTTGTAATGAAAATTGGACATCAGTGAACTCCTTATGCTAATTTCAGGACACGTATGACCTGTATTGTTGCATCTCTCCAGGTAGCTAAGCAGAGATTCACACATATATGTGATTCCTAATAGTAGAAGAACACCCTAGTTTTGATGATTTTGAGCTGTAAGAGTTAGAGGCGATACAATGAAATGAAATGATCGCACCAAAAGGCACATGCCTCTCCTGGCTCACGAATCTTGTGGAAGTACCGCCTTCTTCATCTTGCCATTTGCCTTGTGAAGCGGGGAAGGCGCATGGACACTGGCTTGTTCTAGACGTATCTTAGATGCAACATAGATGTACCACAGTGTCAGAGACGACTGGATTCAAAACTCAATTTGTACTTTCTTATTATATATTTCCCGTGTACTAATTTCTCATTCTACTAAAGTAAGTTTGCATGTCCAGATGAATATTCTGTACATCCAAAGCAAACAGGGTAACTTTGTTACATTTCCTCCTTATGAGAGAACTAGGGACACCCCTGTGGAAGAAGTAGCCCCTCTTTTTTCCATCACCTTGGCACAGAGTTTCCTCTTGAGTTAATCCTCTTCTTTATTAGATTTATGCAGTGCATGTCTTCTGATGATGGCAGCCCAGTGGATTTTGTGCGAGTTGCAAAATTAATTGTTTAAAAATCCGTGTAAGTGCTTTTTTATTGGTCACATGGGACTGACTCTAGCAGTGTCAGCCTTCGTTTTTTTTTAAACTCTTAAATGTAAGTCAATTTTTCAATATCTGAAGTTTTTTTAGAACAAGAACTCAATATTTAGTATGAATTAATACAAGACCTATACAGAATGTAGCACTTTAATTTATAACAAAAGTGAGAAAATAGCCAAGCACAAGTAATGTTAACAGCGTCCCACATATATTGTAGGATACTCATCTTAAAACAGCAGTGTTGTTAGGGACTTGAAGCTGCTGTTGTGTGACCATAAAATTCTGGATTTATGCCCGGCTTAGGTGTTGTTATTCTTGGTGAAGTTGGCAGGGGGAAGGACGGAAATGAAAGAAGATCATTATGTTGATTTGATTTGGAGATGGAGTATTCCAGGCCTCTTTTACATCAAGAGCATTTTTGGAACCAGTATTTTTCTCTCCAGAACATTCTTTTCTTAATTGCTTAACCATCTCTTTGAGATTTAGATAAGCCCAGCAAAAATCACTACTTCATTTAAGCAGAAATATTTGGGATGTATATAGGCTATTTTAGTCTTCCGGATAGAGCTTAGAAAAGTTATACAACAGAGAGCTGGTTACTTTTTTCTGTAAAAACCAGTCAAGGCTCTTATTTTCAGAGGCTTAAGATTATTCTCTGAATAGAATATATAGCTATTTTTTTTTTGGCTTATATGGTAGATACTTATTTCCCACAATTCTATAGGCTGGGAAGTCCAAGATCAAGATACCCATCCACAAATACTGAACTTGCCATTTCTAAAGTAGAAGTGGGTTGTGTTTCTGTTAAATTCTCCTGTTTTCTGTTAATTAGATTATGCACCGTGGCTTGTGACTCTTGTCAGTTCTTAGCATATCTGTATCGCCACCAGCTTCCTTATTTTTAAAATGTCTTGCTTATTATGTAAGTCATGTTGATAAGTGTTTTTGTATCATCCTGATAAGAATGTAGTGGGAAAATCAGTTCTTTTAGGCCGGGGTTTTAAGCGGTCACAGTTGGAAGCTGGGCTCCGTGACCTTGCCAGCATCCTGGGGATGCTGACTCTGAGGACTCACTCAGGGCTCTAACCTGCCCTCTGCCTTTTGCCCTGTGTCTCGTAGGCATTCTGGAATTCATCAGTATAGCCGTGGGCCTGGTCAGCATTCGAGGCGTGGACAGTGGACTCTACCTCGGGATGAACGAGAAGGGGGAGCTCTATGGATCGGTGAGTACTGGGGGGCCCTCCTTACACTCTGTGTCCCATGTTTGAGTTGAACTGCCTTTTCTCTGGATTAAAAAGAGCTGGAGATAAAACCGAACCTGACTGGAGGGTGAGTGGAGGTTTTGACTTTTTGAGGAAAGCCATTTTGTTTTTATTAGTAATCAGCTCTGCATCTTCGCAGGGACCAAGGCTGCTACAAAACGGCTTTATTTATATGCCAAACCATCTTCGTTATCAAGTAAATAAAAAAAATTCACAAGTGTGAAAAATCCCATCTTCTTGTATTGAATGAGAGTTATTTTTGAAATGAATTGCAATGATCTTCTCTCCAGCTTTGCCAAGCATTGGAATTAAAACTAGAAATAGGCCATGCAGTGAGCCTAAACTCTTTCTGTGAACTGCGTCCAGGAGGGAGATGGAAATTGTTGTTGGATATTTTTGTGTGTGAATAGGAATATAACAGTATTGTACTTATTTGCAAATATTATGAGTTCTTTTCCCCCTTCTCACTCCCCATCCCCACTAGGGGGAAGCAGTGAAGACATTTTCATTGTGTCCCGGCAGGTGCCAGGCACTGTTCTAGGTGCCGGGGTCCACCTGTGAGTGGACACAGTCCCCGTTCCCTTTGCTTTGTGGGTAGGGACTAACACTGCTTCGTGGAATCTCTTTACTCTGGCTATTTCAATGTCTAGAACACAGTGTGAGGTACACAGTAGTGGCTTAACATTATTTTTGCTTACTGTGTGAGTATGAATAATACATTATGAGTGACCATATGTTCACTTGGGCTTTCAACATTATGACTTGTCATGAAATTAACCATTAGTTTTTCACTACAGTTATTGGTGGTCCAGTGAGAATTTAGCCCATGTAACGTGCAATATGAGAACTTTGATTAGAGTCTGCAAAAAGTTGAAAATTTAAAGAAACTTCCAATGGGAAAAGTTTTGGAGTCCTCAGGAGATAGAAATGAAAGGCAATGTTTTTTCTAGACATACTCCTTTTCTATCTATATAATAGTAAAAAAAAGTACAAATATGTATGTAATGTGAAGATACTATGTATCGTCTTAAAGTTTTTTTAAAAACTCCAGATGACAATAAATTATGGCCTGTATAATTTGAATATGACACACACCATTGTTAAGGACATGAGGTGCGGTATTTCTGCCTTGATGGTATTTTAAACTATAGGTTGGTTGGTCTAATTAAATATTTAAATCTTTTAAAATAATGTCTCCTTGAGAGAAGACATTATTTAAAAATATGTTTGTGAGTGCAGGATTGAGTTTAGCTTTTTAAACCCAGTTCTCGGTCCTGGCCAGTGTATTTACTTCCTAAACAACGGACATCAATGCCTTTAAGTGCAAAGAAAGGTATGCAAGACATGAGATGAAGGAAGCTTTTATATTTAAAAAACACAAAGTGATGGTCTCTTTCTGTCACGCCCTCAGTTTTTTTCACCTTTAGGTGTCTCGCCTGGCATTACTTAAGTCCCTCACAGTGGAACTCCGTAAAATGTAGCTTGCGTGGGGGAAAGAAGTTTGACCTTCAGGGTTAGAAGGGACTGTAGTGCATCGCCGTGGTCCCTAGTCACTTCTGATCGCATACTCCCACCAAGAAATGTATCTTGAGAATGCATCTTTGCCTGTGCATTTTAAATTATTTTAAATACATGTACATAAAAGTATTGCTTGTATATGTTGCATTAATTTATAAGAGATGTATCAGAGTATACTTTTTTTTTGAGTCACGGTCTTACTCTGTCGCCCAGGCTGGTGTGCAGTGGCATGCTCACAACCACCGCAGCCTCTGCCCTCTGGGTTCAGGGTATCCTTCTGCCTCAGCCTCCTGAGTAACTGGGACTACAGGCACACGCCACCACACGTGGTTCATTAAAACAAATTTTTTTTAAGAGATAAGATCTCACTATGTTGCCCAGGCTGGTCTTGAACTCCTAGGCTCAGGAAGTCCTTTCACTTCGGCCTCTCAAAGTGCTGGGCTTATGGGTGTGAGCCACCATGCCTGGCCAAAGTACACATTTTTAAAGAATGGAGTGGACGAGGAAACCCCAGTCCAGATCGAGTTATTCATTTCCGGTTCCAGCGACCAAAACCCACCCCTCTGAGTTCACCGTGCTGAGAGATGACCAGTTTGTCAGGTGACATCCCCGGCATGATTCAGGAGCCTGTGGTTTCGTGGTGGTCCCTTTGCCTGGAGGGTTGCTACCTGGACGTAGCCTCTCCTCCCGTCTGGATTAGTTAATGGGTTTCCTACTTGGGCCCTCCTGCCCTCGCGTGCCCAGTTCACCTATAGTGCCGGGAGTGGAGTGAGCGAATGAGGACCCAGAGAAGGCAGTGATTGTCCCATGGGCGTGGCGACTGGCAGGTAGGGAGTCAGAGGGAACCACCTCACGCGTTTTCTGATTGCGGTGGCCTCACTCGAGTTTCGGAGCACAGCCAGGGTGGCTTGGAGGGGTCCTGGCACCTGTCCAGCCCCGCAGCTCATAGGTCACTGACAGTCTGGCCGCGGAGCCCAGTGGGCAAGGCGGGGAGTCCAAGATGGGGCAGGAGGGCCCTTCCTCCTCGGGTGCTTGGGAGTCACCTTCTCGCGTGAGGAGGGTCCCGGGTGTGGAGGCTGCACTGAGACACGGTTGTGATGTTCCGTGGACACGTGTCTTCAGCTGCATCCCTGCGTCTGGCATGCCCATCTCCAGTCCCTTCGCCGCATGGGTTGCCTTGAACATCTCCTGAGACCCCTGTGGACACTTACTGTGGAAGGGCAGCGCCTGTGGCCTTCAGCGTGGCGTTCAGCACATTGGACATACCACTGCGTTGGCTGTCTTGGCTAGGATCATCTCCTGGGCCTCTTTGCCACACCATTTGGGTCTATCGACTTCCTGTTCTCCAGACACGTCCTGCATTCTCATGTGCACAGGGGTCAAGCAAGTCCCTCTCTCTCCTGGGGCCCCTCCGCCTCCTTTCTCCCCCAGTGAAGCAACACTCTGTGTTCAAGATTTAATGCTGGCCAGAGGCAGTGGCTCATGTCTGTGAACTCAGCACTTTGGGAGGCCGAGGCAGGAGGATTGTTTGAGGATTGTCTGGGACCAGCCTGTGCAACATAGCAAGACATTATTTCTTAAAAAAAAAAAGCCTGGAATTGCATGGTGGTAAACCTGGAGAACCCTACTTTAGAGGCTGAGGCAGGAGAATCACCTGAGTCCAGGAGTCTGAGGCTACAGCGAGCTGTGATTGTGCCACCGCATACCCTAGCCTGGGTGACAGGATGACACCCTGACTCAAAAAAAAAAAAAAATTTGAAACACTGCTTCTTCTGCGCAGCCTTTGTGACACCTCCAACCCTAACCCACACCACAACCCTAACCCTAACCCACACCCACATTCTAACTCTAACCCTAACCCTTCGTGACACCTCTAACCCTAACCCTACTCATTAGCGTTTCTTGTGTTTTCCTCTGGGTTCCAGGAACACGTTTCTGTTTCATTCATTGCACAAGCTAACAGCACAGTTTACAGGGTGGCCAGCTGTATTTCTGTATTCCCCGATGGTTTGAAAGGGCATGGAACTCAGTTTTCTTCCTAATGTCGCTTGACACATAGTAATGACTCTGGTGTGCAGTAGGAGCTCAATAAATGTTCACTGGACTGAACGGCCATCCCATGGCCACCTGTCACGGGGCTGCTCTGTGTTGTCTCTGGGGTGCGTGGCCTGAGGGAGATGGGATAGAGGCTGCAGGAAAGACGATGTCGTGGCCAGAGTGTGACTGAGCTCTCGTGTGTGTCTCTGCCGTGACCAAGGCACTGGCTCTTGTCCTCAGCTCCAGGAGAAAGTGCCTGATGGGACAGCTGGAGTCTCTCCCCACCTGGTGGGCCTTGGGACCCCTCCAGTGTGGCCTCTCAGGCTGTCCTTGGAGGTCTCCTCTGCCTGGCCCGGGATGTGCTCTGTGCACACGACATGTCTGTGCAGGAGAGCTGTGGCTGCTGCGTGGAGTGGGAGGGAGGCACCCAGGCTGCAGGGCGGAGGATGAGGGCCATTCACTGCTCGTGGCTCTGTGGTGCTGTGCCTCAGGTGTCGTGGACATGGGGAATGACCACACGTCTCTTTCGTGGCCATGCGACTCGGAGGGCAGAGGGAAAGACACAAGTGGTGATTCTGTCACTGAAGCTGCCGGCGTCTGGAGCTTGCAGGATCTCGTCTGAGTGAGTCGCGTGAGCTCAGTGGATGGACATGGGGGAGTTTGCTCTGAATGTTAGGAAACCTCACTGAGGCTGAGCTCAGGATGAGGTGAGGACAGGAGATTTGGGGAAATAAGAGCCCTTTGGAGGGCACGTGGATGTGTACATGGAGCAAAAGTTCGTCAAAACGCATTTTCCTGTTTGGGGATTCATTTTCTCTCTTCACCTGTGTAGAACTTTTTTTAAATTTTTTTTTTTGAGTTGGAGTCTCACTCTTGTCACCCAGGCTGGAGTGTTTTAACTTTTTTTTTTTTTTTTTTTTGCGTCGAGTCTCACTCCGTCGCCCAGACTGGAGTGCAGTGGCCGCTCCCGGCCGCCGCAGCCTCGACCTGCCTCAGCCTCCCAAGGAGCCGGAACTACAGGCGCACGCTACCACGCCCGGCTGATCTTTTTGATTTATTGTAGAGATGAGGCTGCACCAAGTTGCCCAGGCGGCGCAGACAATCCACTCACCTCAGCCTCCCAAGGCATATGGGATTATAGGCTGAGCCACTGAGGCCAGCTAATGTGTAGAACTTTTTTAAACCTCCAAGTTTACCTTGCATGTCAGAGGAGAGCAGGGTAATACTTTAGAAAGATTTGTAGAGTCCCCTATCTGTTGTGAATGTGGAACAGGAGAATTGGTATTGCTAATGTGTATCACGACTTGATTAGAAGGAGGAATTCTGACTCCGGGGGAGTTTGATTATTGTGTTCATGTGTTAGTTTATCCGTGCATCCATCCATTTATTTTTTTGTTTCTTAGAGA